ATTTTATATTATGAGTTTTACAAATTAAAGGGAAATTTTCAAAGCGCATAACAAGAAAGGATGATAATTCTCCAATGCTTTGTAAATCCTAATTGCTCATTAGCCATTTGATTGTCTTTTGGGAAACAGACAATAATGTTGAGCAAATAGTCTTTCCTTGATGCAGTAAAATCTTTTGCAAGAACATTTGCTCATTAACAACCCAGTGATACTGAAATGCAGTTGCACACCTAAATTGATCTATTTTTCTGTTCTCTTACTCTTTTCAATCATCTAATTTAGCTGTTTGTACATTTTGTGCATTTAAAAATGTCAAAGCTTACAAATACAAATATATGTCCAATTAATCATTTGACTACTTATATAAAACTATACATTCTGGGGTCCTCATTGATATTTCTTTCTTTTTTTAACCCAAGGACATAATAAATTATTTGAAAAATGGAATTCACCAGACTGATTTTTTTTGAGATAACACTGTTATTCACTACATTTAAATAATTACCTTTTCCCTTAGAGATTTCCTAATTCATATCTGAAATCTTTGAGATTGGCATTCATTATTTATGGCAATTTTGTGGTACTATTTTTTGAACTCTATAAATACATTTTATAATGCCAGTGTTTATCTTCCCTCTCCTAAAAATCTAGGAAGTTGTTAAACATACTGCTCTATGTTTTACAGCATTGGCACTTGTTTCCTTGGAATCTGCTGAAAGGCCAAACTACTTTCTCTATGTCCACGATGATGACACTCTTAGTTTGAAACTATGGGAGGCAAATTCAGCCTTTCATCGGAGAGCAACATTTTTCCACCATCAGGGCCTCTGGATTCCTGGTTATAGTGCATTTGAGTTATACAGCAAAAAAGGCTTTTTTATCACGGTCACAGATTCTAGTGTCAAAGTATCAAAATATGATGATTCTGAAGAATTTAAACATTCAAGTAGCTTCAGTATAGAAGGTATGTTTCCTGAGATCTTTAAAAAGGGAATCCATAGGAACCTTTACATTATGCAGAATATTTCTCAGTTTTTAATGGTAAAATCATTGTTCCTGTGTATAAGTTGATAGATTGTATGACCTTAAGTGAGTTTCTTAACCTCTCTATTCCTCAGTTTACTCATTTGTTAAATGAGAGAAATGCCTACTTCATAGGGTTC